ATTGTCACTGTTAACTGTTAGGAGTGTCAGCTGATAATTGTCACTGTTAACTGTTAGGAGTGTCGGCTGATAATTATCACTGATAACTGTTAGGAGTGTCAGCTGATAATTGTCACTATTAACTGTTAGGAGTGTCGGCTGATAACTGTTAGGAGTGTCGGCTGATAATTGTCACTGTTAACTGTTAGGAGTGTCAGCTGATAATTATCACTGATAACTGTTAGGAGTGTCGGCTGATGATTGTCACTGATAACTGTTAGGAGTGTCAGCTGATAATTGTCACTGTTAACTGCTAGGAGTGTCAGCTGATAATTATCACTGTTAACTGCTAGAAATGTCAATTGATAATTATCACTATTAACTGCTTAGGAGTGTCAGCTGATAATTGTCACTATTTAGGAGTGTCAGCTGATAATTATCACTGATAACTGTTAGGAGTGTCAGTCGATAATTGTCACTGTTAACTGTTAGGAGTGTCGGCTGATAATTATCACTGATAACTGTTAGGAGTGTCGGCTGATAATTATCACTGATAACTGTTAGGAGTGTCAGCTGATAATTGTCACTGTTAACTGCTAGGAGTGTCAGCTGATAATTGTCACTGTTAACTGCTAGGAGTGTCAGCTGATGATTGTCACTGTTAACTGCAGCAGATGATTGTCACTGTTAACTGCTAGGAGTCAGCTGATAATTGTCACTGTTAACTTGTCAGCTGATAATTGTCACTGTTAGGAGTGTCAGTCGATAATTATCACTGATAACTGTTAGGAGTGTCAGCTGATGATTGTCACGGATAACTGTTAGGAGTGTCAGCTGATAATTATCACTATTAACTGTTAGGAGTGTCGGCTGATAATTGTCACTGTTAACTGTTAGGAGTGTCGGCTGATAATTATCACTGTTAACTGTTAGGAGTGTCAGCTGATAATTATCACTGTTAACTGTTAGGAGTGTCAGCTGATAATTGTCACTGATAACTGTTAGGAGTGTCACTGCTGTTAGATGTCGGCTGATAATTATCACTCTGTTACTGTTCAACTGTTAGGAGTGTCAGCTGATAATTATCACTGTTAACTGTTAGGAGTGTCGGCTGATAATTATCACTGTTAACTGTTAGGAGTGTCGGCTGATAATTGTCACTGATAACTGCTAGGAGTGTCGGCTGATAATTGTCACTGTTAACTGTTAGGAGTGTCAGCTGATAATTATCACTGATAACTGTTAGGAGTGTCAGCTGATAATTGTCACTGGAAAGTGCTAGGATAATCAGTCGATAATTATCACTGATAACTGTTAGGAGTGTCAGCTGATAATTGTCACTGTTAACTGTTAGGAGTGTCAGCTGATAATTATCACTGATAACTGTTAGGAGTGTCAATAATTGTCACTGTTAACTGTTAGGAGTGTCAGCTGATAATTGTCACTGTTAACTGCTAGGAGTGTCAGCTGATAATTGTCACTGTTAACTGTTAGGAGTGTCAGCTGATAATTGTTAACTGTTAGGAGTGTCAGCTGATAATTGTCACTGTTAACTGTTAGGAGTGTCGGCTGATAATTATCACTGATAACTGTTAGGAGTGTCAGCTGATAATTATCACTGATAACTGTTAGGAGTGTCAGCTGATGATTGTCACGGATAACTGTTAGGAGTGTCAGTCGATAATTGTCACTGTTAACTGTTAGGAGTGTCGGCTGATAATTATCACTGATAACTGTTAGGAGTGTCACTGTTAACTGATAACTGCTAGGAGTGTCAGCTGATAATTGTCACTGTTAACTGCTAGGAGTGTCAGCAGATGATTGTCACTGTTAACTGCTAGGAGTGTCAGCAGATGATTGTCACTGTTAACTGTTAGGAGTGTCAGCTGATGATTGTCACTGTTAACTGCTAGGAGTGTCAGCTGATGATTGTCACTGTTAACTGCTAGGAGTGTCAGCAGATGATTGTCACTGTTAACTGCTAGGAGTGTCAGCTGATGATTGTCACTGTTAACTGCTAGGAGTGTCGGCTGATAATTGTCACTGTTAACTGCTAGGAGTGTCGGCTGATAATTGTCACTGTTAACTGCTAGGAGTGTCGGCTGATAATTGTCACTGTTAACTGCTAGGAGTGTCGGCTGATAATTGTCACTGTTAACTGCTAGGAGTGTCAGCTGATAATTATCACTATTAACTGCTTGGAGAATCAGCTGATAATTGTCACTGGAAAGTGCTAGGATAATCAGTCGATAATTATCACTGATAACTGTTAGGAGTGTCGGCTGATAATTGTCACTGTTAACTGCTAGGATAATTGGTTGAAAATTGGCGCTGTTAACTGCTATGTGAATTAGCTGACAATTGTCACTGTTAACTGCTAGGGGAATTAGTTGATAATTATCACTGTTTACTGCTAGGAATGTCAGTTTATAATTATCACTGTTAAATGCTAGAAGTGTCAGCTGATAATTATCACTGTTAATTGCTGGCGACACAGTTAACTCTTTGGAGAATCAGCTGATAATTATCACTGTTAACTGCTAGGAATGCGTGATAAGTTCAAATGCTTAAAATTGTTGCCTTTTAGTAGACGAATTCTGTACAATCAGGAATATCTAATGTACAAGATATTCAATAACTTAGCCCCACAGAATTTGAATCGTTTGACCGACATTTATGATGTGCACAACAGATCTACAAGATCTTCATCTACGAATGTATTTTACTGGTCACCCCTTAAGATGAACATTCTTAAAAAGTCTTTTAAATGTCAGGAATTTCCACATGTAATTATTTACTAACTAATGTTAGAATAAGCACGTCACTTTTATCTTTTAGCAAATCAGCAAAGGAATTTTATCTGGAATAATTTCTCCCTTATTCTGTTTTTATATGATTGTATACACATTGTATTCTCTATCTCTGCCTCTCTCTCTCTCTCTCTCTCTCTCTCTCTCTCTCTCTCTCAAGTAATGTATATGCCATCCACATTTTATCTTAACAATGCATAAGACGAACTATATACTCATCATGCTAGCAATCATAAATAAATCCAATAATTATTCTTATAAAGCACCAAGGCCACTAGAAATGGCTAATTGGACACGGATACTCCAAAATCTCTGCTTAAACCACAAAATCTAGGCTTGTGACGACAAACAGTACTCATAACCTTGTCTACCGTCATTTGATGCTGTTACGTCTTGGACGTTGTAGCAATTCCATATTATCATCAAAGTGCGTACCTTTTTTTCACCAAAAACCACCATCTTTTCTTTTTGTTGCTAGTGACGATGTACACCGTATCAGTCTTCGGTAAGTCAGAACAGGATTATATTTATTTCTCAAGAAAGAAAAATCAATTAAATTTCAGATTTTTTTTAAAAAAATGTGTTTCAATATTCTAAAAAATCTAATCCTTTGAAGGGATTCATTCCATTTGCTTGGTACTTATTTGCAAGAAATTTTTTGCAATTTTCAGGATGTGAAAAGTAAATGCAACACTTAACCATGATATTGTGTTAAATGTCTCTTATTTAAATCAGATATTTTTTTAAGATGAAGTTCGTTTGAATGTTGTTTACCAGTGGTTACGTTGTTTGCATGAGTGATCTTGAAAATAATAAACGACAAGACGCACTTTAAACTCTAGACATTGATATCGTGACGTCGTCTTTAGACATAACGAAAAAATAGGTCACATTCTCACCTTAATATTAAGCCTGCGCAGTGTACCGTTGAATCACTACGAAACCAGTGTGTGAATAAAATCAGCAGATAAAAGGCGTCTCAGGCCGTAAACATTCACGTTGTTAGATCTGGTGAGTAAATAATTCATTTTTCGTGTTTCTTAATCATTCGGTTTCACTTAATATATTTTCTTTAAAATTGTGATGTCACTCATCTTTTTTTTTTTTGTATGTTGTACTTTAAATGTGCTTGTCTAGCATTACCTATGGCTTTACTGAATGTTAACTAAGGTTGTCTTTTGAATGACCCATTTACTGGACTGAAACTGAGACCGACTGATGAAACTGACAGAATGCAGGTATGGCTTTGACAGTTAGCAGTAACCTGCAACTATGGCAGGAAATTCCCCTATAATGCTCTTTCATGCATGGACCTGAAAAAAAATAAAATAGAGAATATGCAGCCAACTTTAAAATAGCCGATTAAATCCAGTTTAATTTGAAAACGCATCAGAAACAGAATTATATATATATGGTAAATGTTTTTAAGCGCTAGATGACACAAAGCTATTTATGTATTGACAGCTAATTCTAAATGAGAATAAGTTGCCATGAATAATCTTAATACATATGTGTATCTACTTGAATATTCTAGTCGCATTACTTACCGTGTGAATTATAACGATAGGCAAATTCTTAAGGTATGCTTATGATCTTGATGTAATCGTGATTCATCTATACACACATGGAGCTATCACAATGTTTCTGGGGATGAGAGTTTGTATGATATATTACAACTAGTAAAGGGGGCACATGACATACCAGAGAAAAATTCATCGCCCTCGGAAAAAAACGCCCTCATCCCCCAGAAAATTGTTACAGGCCCCCGTGTGTATACAGGCATCATGACGGTCAGCTCTAAGCTCTGAGTCCATATCTCCTCTTTGGTCGATAGCGTTTACAAAGACCACGGTTATTTTAAAAATAAAAGTGTTTTATATTAACAAAATGGCAGGTTATATTTTTTAAGTAATTGTGTAACATGTATGAGAGAGAAGAGATTTCGGCCCTAACGAGCCTCTGTCGTTTTTTGTCTAGCAAAATTGTTCACTTTCCAGCTTATCTCAATTGAAAATTGAATCTAACAGTAATGTAACTTTGAGCAAATAAATGCAATCTTGCACCTCGCCGATTCGGCTTACTTTAACGATTCTCGGGAATCGGTATTAGTACACGCCAGGGTTCTGCGGGACCACGAAAATTTGAACCGTCAACAATTACTACTGTTACAGTATGTCATACGATTTACATAGCTCTTTGTTATACACAGCAATGGAGGTCGTCGGCGTGACGCTAGGAGATGTGACAGTGGAACATAAACTATTTGATGGCGTTAACTTCCCAATCCTTTGTCCTGGAAATGTATCAGATCATCTAGAGAAGATCAGAAAATTGAAATACAAGGAAAGCGATGTATTCATCATGTCCTACCCAAGAAGTGGTAACGTATATAATTTTCTTTGAATTTGAGTTATTTTTATTGGATTTATTCAAAATATCTCGGATAAATTTTAGTTTCAGTGTTTTTGGGTCAAGGTCACTTTTAGTAGCTTCCTTCCTTTAGAGATTCTCATCAAACTCCACACACGTATAAAACATCAAATAAAGATCGAAGTTCAGGTTTGTTGGGTGAAAGTCAGTGTAACTATCTTTGAAAAAATGTAAATCATTTCAGAGTACTAACTTGTGTTGCCAGTAGGGCACTTGCATTTTTTCAGCAACACTCGGTATGCTTAGCATGTACTTCAAAAATACTCCACTGTATAGGAGCCTTCAAATCAAACTTCCCTGTAAAGGATCCGACAAATAAAACTCCACTATAAAGGAGCCTTCAAAAAACTTCCCTGTATTGGAGCTGTCAGAAAACTCCTCTGTATAGGAGCCAACACAGTTACGGACGAACAATATCCATTGTAGAACGCCCGACAAATAAGAGATAGTCAACGTTTTCACAATAATAGCCATGACATTGTGAATTTATGTGTTGTCGGCGTATGGAGGTTATGATAATGTCTCTAGTTCTACCAATTATAATGTTATCGAGGGAAATATACTGACGTCAATAGTTGACCAGAGCGGTCCATAACCCATACTATCATCACCAGCGTTTGACCGATGACCGGTCAGCAACTGCCTACGACCGGACCACTCCTTAAGCTTGCTTGAAACTCGGTATGCTATCGGTCATGAAAAAAACAAAGGTTTCCAATAGAAAAGTGGTATATCGCTTCTTCTGTCGAACGATAAATTGCAGACAGGCGTATTCCAGGTAATTCACAGTGTCGCAAGAGGGTTGTTTCTATTACAAACAATAATTACGAAAGGACAGACATAAATGTATTTGAAGTGAAGTTAGAATACATAAACATATTGACAGTATGTTTCAAACAGATTATAGAATGAAAATATGCCGCTATGGTAGGCGCGATCGTTAGCTCAGCTAAATGCTTGCATCGGCGACGCAGCTGGAACCAGCTTAAAGAGTGAGTGTTAAAACCTAAAGACTGACAAGAGCTCACCAGAGACAAATATCTGCATCACAACAGCAATTGATGTCCTTATCCTGGCGTGTTACATTGCTTCGGCACGAAAAGGGACAGATAAAGGAAACCAGGTCACGCGTATAAGTGAAAAACAAGTACAGTGAGTATTGCGAAAGAAATACATGTCTTCTCCTTACCCCAGAATTTATTATGCTGTAATGATATATTAAAATGGTGCTGTATAGTGTTAATTTGGAAAAGAAAGATATCAATTAATTAATTGATTTTGATTTTACTGAAATTGCTTTATCCTCACCTATGAGTGAAGTTTTGTAAGTGTGTGAGGTTTGATAAAAATCCTATGAGGAATGAAGCTGCTAGAGCGCTGATAACGATTATCTAAAAATAGAAATGTTGACTTTGACCCCTACCGTACAATCCGTTTTACATCTTTTTCTTTTTGTCTGGTTGGTTGGTTTACTTTTAGACAATGGCATTATTATAAGGGGTGACTGACACGTACACTCAAGCTAGGCTAAAACGACTCTCAAGGTGGAGAAAAGTAATCTTTATACAAAAGTAATCTATATGCAAAAGTAATCTATATACAAAAGTTGGCTTTTTACAAAAGTAGTCTTTACATGCAGATTCAATTAGTGGCCTTTACAGACAGGTGACTTTTGTATTAAAGTTGCCTTTTACACAAGTTGGACTGTATTAAGGACGTAGAATACAGTTGTGCATCATGTTGTAAGTGTGAATTATTATGGAGAGAGAGAGAGAGAGAGAGAGAGAGAGAGAGAGAGAGAGAGAGAGAGAGAGAGAGAGAGAGAGAGAGAGGAGGAAATAAGAACAGAACATACGGGTTTTCTGTTGCTATACAAGTAATTAACATTATAGATGTGTGTGTGGACATATGTTTCTGCTTTGTATGTCATTATACGCTTTGTGTGTGGATGACATTATACTAAGATCGGGACATCATGCATTATCACTATCATTTGGATGTATTGACTGTGTTCACCCAACACTACACATTCCTGTGTTTTTGCTCTGAGACATTTTTGCAAGTGTGTAACTGTGAAAGAAATGTGTGATTTAAATGACTACTGAAGCAAAATTGGACAATTCCATAATAGTGTTGCGCACAAATCTATGAAGCTAAGGTACAGTATGGGGAAATCAAGTGTCACGCCTGAACCGTCACTTGGTAAATCTATATTTACCTGTATACTACTGGGGTTACCTTGGCTATTGTGTATTGTGAATGCCCCTGCGGTACCCCACTGTCCATCTGTAGTGATATGTTTTTACCTACACAAACTTATGTGCAATGCTTCGCTGATGATCTGTTTACTTGAAACACTCTTGCACATATTTTCAATGGCAATTCCCAGAACTTCTTTGATTGCACATTGCCAGCTGTTCTCCGATTTTTATCGTGGAATATAAGGACCATGTACAATAAAATGCCTGAACTTTCTTATCATGTAACAAGCAACAACTTTGATGTTGTTTGTCTTTAAGAGACTTGGTTAAATTCTCAAATTAGTAATGCAGAAATATCCATTAAAGGTCTAACGCTGGAACGTTCCGACAGGTCTGATGGTCAGCGCCGTGGTGGTGTTGCTACCTATGTAAAGTCTGCCATCCCATTCGTTAGGAGACATGACATTGAAACTCCTGACATGGAAACTGTCTGTCTCGAGATGAAGTTCAAAAACTCCAAACCACTACTTAAAGCAAATATTTATAGGCCACCAGCATCTCCTGTTTCATGGATGGAGAACTTTTAGTTGTTTCTTGATAAATTATTTGACTTAAATCTTGACGTAATAATCGTGGAGGATTTGAACATTGACCTTTTAAATTGACCTTATAGCAAATGTTTATAGGCCACCAGCATCTCCTGTTTCATGGATGGAGAACTCTGAGTTGTTTCTTGATCAATTATTTGACTTAAATCTTGACGTAATAATCGTGGGGGATTTCAACATTGACCTTTTAAAGACCAATCAAACGACTGATATCACTTCCGCCCACAATTTATCTCCGATGGTAAAAGATCCTACTAGGGTCTTTGAATCAGAAACCTTACTTGACCATGTGTATACATCGTCACCAGAGTTCATTCGAGTCACACATGTAATACAAAATGGGCTAAGTGATCATTTCCCCATTTGTTTCGTCCACAAACGGAGTTTTGTTTCCAAATTCTCCCATGCAGACATCCGTTACAGATCATTCAAGGGTTTCGACGAGGAGGTTTTTCTCTCTGACATCGCATCAGCCCCATGGACAGTCATTGAAATGTTTGAAGATGTAGACGATGCTCTCTATGCGTGGACTAAATTATTTATTGACATTCTTGACCAACACGAACCTAATCGCACGCGTCGAGTTTAGAAACCTACCCAGCCTGAATGAATGACTGATGAAATAATCCAAGGTATGCCGTTTAAAGGCCGCTCGTGACATGGCAAAGTACCGTGTTCAACGTAACAGGGTTACATCTATAATTCAGGAGATAAAATCCACATATTATCAATCTGTCTTCGAAAGTAACCTAGACAATCCCAGTAAACTAAGGAAATTTGAAAGGGATCTTGCTCCAAAAAAGAATATTTCAACACCAGGCATGGTCCTAAACGGAAATTATGAAACATTTGACAAATGTGAAAGAGCTGAAACTTTTAACTATTTTTTCTCTACTATTGCTAGTAAATTAACAGAGTCACTTTCGAAAGTTTCGTCAAAGTTTGTGAAACTTACTGAGTTTGTGAAAGAAAAACTTGATAATGACTGCATATTTTCTATCCCACTAATTACTGATAAATTTGTCCAAAACTTTCTTATTGGTCTTGACGAGCATAAGTCCGTTGGTCTTGATGGAATTAATTTAAAAGTACTCAAATTATCATATGCTCATGTTTCTAGGTCTCTTACATATATTTGTAACCTGAGTATAAAGTCTGGTAAGTTCCCTAGTGATTGGAAACTTGCAAAAGTTTTACCAGTTCATAAAAGTGGATCTAAATCAGATGTGTCCAAGTTTAGACCCATATCTGTCTTAAATGCATTATCTAAGATTCCTGAGAGGAATGTGCACTGTGAATTATACAAATGTCTATGTACAAATAACCTGTTGGTGTCCTTTCAATTTGGTTTTAGAAAATATCACTCCTGTGAAACTGCCTTATTGAATATTGTTAACTCATGGACACAGGAAGTTGATCAAGGTAATATAAATGGTGTTGAATTTTTAGACTTTAGAAAAGCGTTTGACTGCGTAGATAATCATGTTTTAATCCAAAAGTTGAAACGCTACCAGTACAATGATTTAGCGGTGAGCTGGTTTAAATCCCATCTCGCCAACAGACTACAAAAAGTAAGTATTTCAGGTGAATTGTCCCAAAGCATGACTATTACTCATGGAGTCCCTCAGGGATCTATATTGGGACCTCTTTTATTTTTAACTTTTATAAATGAGCTTCCCTTAGAAATACAGTATGAAACTGATATGTACGCTGATGACAAAACTCTATCAGCTTCTGATTCTTCTATTTTAAGTGTCCAAAAAAAATTACAATGTGACCTAAATGCAGTCGAAAACTAGTGTACTGAAAATAGAATGATTATTAATGCTGACAAAACAAAGTGTATGGTTATAACCACAAAGCAGAAACATAGTAGAAATGATTATGTCATAGATCTGTCTTTAAACAATACAGAGCTTGACCATGTACAGTCTGCTAAACTGCTGGGTGTAAAAATTGATAGGTGTTTATGTTGGGAAGATCATGTCAACTATGTATTCGGAAAAATAAATAAAGGTTTGTGTGTGTTGAGAAGAATTAAGAAATACCTTCCAAGGAACGCTAGAATCAAATATTTTAATGCATGCGTTTTTCCCCACTTCCTGTATTGTTCAACAATCTGGAACGGATGTTTAAAAAATCTGTCATAAAAGCTTTACAAAGCTCAAAATCAGGCAGCAAGGGTGATTTTAGAAGTACCATATGACACTCCATCTGCTGATTTGTTTTGTGTTTTAAACTGGTTGCCTTTAGCTGATTTTTATCGTTACAGGACAGGTTCAATGGTTCACAAATGTGTCCATCGTCTTGTTCCAGAATATTTATGTAGTTTGTTTAACTTAAAGTCTGATATCCATACCAGATGTACAAGATCAAGCCATAGCAATATTTTACATATTCCTAAACATCGTACCAAGTTTTATGGCAATAATTTTGTAGTTGCAGGAAGCCAACTCTGGAACAATTTGCCGAATAAGATAAGGAAGGCAACACGCTTTGCCTCCTTTAAACGTTCACTCAGCAATCACCTCATGGATCATGGATAAACAGATTTCATAATAAAGTTCTCTAAAGAACTGTTTTAAGTCTATTCAATATATTTTAGCAGATTATTATCCTATTGTTTTACCTATAAAAAATTTAACCCATAATTAACTGTTTATCTTCCAGTGTATTTCTTGTGTCAATTTTGTAAACACACATTTTTATATTATTGATATTTTCCTATGTCATTTTTATTTTTCTTTGCTACACTATTATATATATGTATAAGGCTGGAGCTGTTTAAATTGATTTAATATTATGTATGATATTTATGCATCCTGTGATATTCCAATCCAAATTGTTGTCTGTGATATCTTGCTTTCTTACTACAGGCTTACTGTGTATATACAATATGTAACTTTTAACTAACACACAAATACTGTATTTTACTAACAGGAGGACCATATGGAAGATTAGCCGTTGACTAAATATGTAATTCTCAGAAAATAAAGTTTATTGTTATAAATATTATTAACCCCTTGTTATTAAAAAACATGCAAACATTTCGGAAAATACACATATTTTGAAAATCATATGTTATCAAACAGAAAAAAATATCACAGTAACAGGTGCTGTTTTAATGAATTAATAAATATTTTGGTATTTCTCCTTAGGGACACATTGGGTGAGAGAAATCGTCGCCATGTTGTTGAAAGGAAAAGCGGAATACATCGTTAACGATAATATCGATTTTCCGTTAGAACTTTTGGATATCGACACTATCGAGAGGGAAGCATCTCCAAGAATATTCTATTCTCATATGCCGTTTCGATTTCTACCACAGGACCATATAGAACGAAATGGAAAAGTGATCGGATGTTTCCGTAACCCGAAGGATGTGATTACGTCATCGTTTCATTTCCTTAATAACCTTATTACCAGTAATCTCAACTGGGATGCTTTCTGTGATGCGGCGTTGAATGGAAACGGTAAATCACACCTTAGAAAAGGTTTTGACGTGTTTTTTTTTTTTTTTTTTTATAGATGAACTAAAACTAGGACAGTATTGTTTTGAAATCAACCAAATAATATTTTGAACATTTTCTTCATGATGGTAATGTTAATAAACAAGTAGTTCTTATAAAACAACCAGTAGAAGATTAGAGTGTCACGTTTCTAAGAGGTCTTTCATGCCTTTATGGTTTATAATATGTTTACCATTTCGTCACACTATTTTCGACCCAACTGTACATTGGATAATAGTATAGCCGAAAAAGTTGGTCGATTCCTTACCATCTCGTACAATAAATACGTCATTGCTAATACGCTCCACATTGGTCATTTGTCTGATAAAGGTGACCGTGTAGTCATGGAAACGTCACACTTAAATTTTCTACTGGTTGTGTTATATGATGAAGGTGACCGTAAAGTCATCGAAACGTCACACTTAAATCTTCTACTGGTTGTGTTATAAGATGGAGGTGACCATGTAGTCATCGAAATGTCACACTTAAATTTTCTACTGGTTGTGTTAAAAGATGAAGGTGACAGTGTACTCATCGAAACGTTACACCCTAATCTTCTACTGGTTCTGTTATAAGATGAAGGTGACCGTGTAGTCATCGAAACGTCACACTTAAATCTTCTACTGGTTGTGTTATAAGATGAAGGTGACCGTGGAGTCATCGAAACGTCACTCTAATCTTCTACTGGTTGTGTTATAAGATGAAGGTGACCGTGAAGTCATCTAAACGTCACACTTAAATCTTCTACTGATTGTGTTATATGATGAAGGTGACCGTATAGTCATCGAAACGTTACACTCCAATCTTCTACTGGTTTTGTTTCCGCCAGAAATACTTATCTTCTATCTAACTTGCTATGTTATGTAATGCTAACGACCGGAGGAAGATCTGGAACACTATGACGTCACAGTTGATATTTGTTTCATTCAATGTTTGTCCTTCGTCTCAACTTGGTGGTATGGAAGTGAAAATATAGTATAATTATCTTTGTTCAAAGTAAAAGATGTATAAATTCTCCTTATTCTCATGATGAATCGGCGTTGTTCAACTGCTGAAAATTAAAGAAATATTGTCTTAAACTCGCATATTTTTCGTTTATAGTCACTTACGGAAGCTGGTTTGATTGGCGCGATAATTGGAAGACTACACTGAAACAACACGCAGAAAACCCTCCACTTACAGTCACCTACGAGGACACCAGTAAGGTGATTTGTTTATTGTTCGGTTACATCCCCTCATCTGAGTTTGAATATAGATGCATGCTGATGAAGATTTTATAAGAGTTTTATAGCTGATATCAATATCTCATTTGGCAATATCTCACTTCCTGTGACACTAGGGAATTATCTGCCCATCAAATATCTTATCAAATTCAATTAATGTCATGCTAATTAAATGTTAACCGAGGCAAATATTCAAGGAATTAGAAATTAAAAAAGATATGTAAAGATTAAAGATGTGTCTAGGAAACAATACACCCCGGTTGCAACAAAATTAAAATCACATCGTCAAAAACATTGGCACCATCACAAAGGTCCCAAGGAACACACATGGAAAATATGAAACCCCTACTTTCTACGGTGTTATAGTTATGGGCAAGATTAAAGTTGACATACGAACAGACAGACAAACAGACATTACAAAAACAAAATGCCCCGATCTTCCGATCTGGGGGCATAAAAAAACAATTTTCACGCTAGATAGGAGAGATTTATTGGATAAAAAAATTCTGATGCTGAAATTTAATACCAACCATTATTAATGTTACAGGATCTAAGAAAACAGATAGGCAGAATTGCAGACTATCTAGAGGTGACCTACACAGAGGCTCTAATCAACGACATTGCGCATATGTGTGAGTTCAAAAACATGAAAGCTGCCAAGTCCAGACAGAAGTCCGACATGATGAAGAGAATCGATGATGGAATCCACCAGTTGGATGGCGTCGAACTGGATAACATCAATGAAAATATCGTTCAAAACAGTGTTGTTCGTAAAGGTGATTATTGGCACTGTCCGCACGGACTGTGAATAGATTCTTTGCCACGTCCGTGCTGTCCGTCGCGAAACACTTTGGAACTAGGTTATATGTCTTTGAGGTGGAAAAACAAGCTTTCGATTTTCAAATTCATTCCCCGAGCTAGGTTATCAGGGTGTCAACCCCCAAGAAAGCACTTTTATGGTAACAGATTGTGAATTAAAACACAGATCCTACAGCGGTATTGTACCTCATTCACATTGGAAATATTTCCCGTAATCGGCAACGTTCGGCACTTTACGTAAACGAGAATTCGTAATATGTTGTATTGCGCACCACGTTTGATATTTTCATCCAACTTTGATTTTCCCAAGTCATTGTCTAGATTTTGAACTCCGAGGTTAGTTTGTTAGCATCACAAGGACGAAACGATATTGTGTATTATTATCCGTAATTCAAAATGTGCAAAGCCCTTGGGTGTCTTTGAAATTGAGGGGATTTAACTCTGCTTGTAGACATAAGTAAAAGATGTTGGTCGTATCTCCGTAATTTACATATTAATTCATATACATGTACTTTACACTATTTCAAAATTAACCTGCGCTGAAGGTTGTAAAATGTATTGAATAATGGGGTTGATGTACCGCCCCTTCTAAACTGGAAAATATTTGCTACCTTTTCCCTCTGTCGCGTCCGTAAAAAAACCGCTTTGTTATGGTCACTTTTCTTTATCTTATTTGTCTATAAAGAACTTATATATTTACTTGTATTTTTTCTAATACATTTTAATTATAATATGTCATCGTTTTCTAACAAATATAATATTTGCTACATTTTAGGGATCGTAGGGGACTGGAAAAGTATATTTACATCGGACCAGATAGAAAAGTTTAACGCAATGTATCGCCACAGGTCCATTCCGGATCACCAGTTGGAATTCAAAGAATACTTGGAGGACTGATTACCATTATTGTCTTTGGTTTAAACAATATTTTATTTTCAGATTTTCATTTACAACATGCACAAATTATAAAATTGAAAATGGATCTGGCAACAAGATTATGAATAATAATAAGCCATCTTGTCTTTATCATTTGGAGGAATGCCAGTTTGGGCCTTCTGGTGGCCATGACGAATACTTTTTATTTTTTGTCTATTAAAAACTTGAGGTCAGGCGGTAATGACATGACATTAATCTAAGGTCAGCTCAAGGCTGTTCAGTTGTTATAGGGGGGACGAGTGGGGGATCAAATTCATAATTATTGCAATAATTATCAAACTGAAATATTTATTTTTTAGTTTTTTTCTCTTAAATATCATTTGATGATATATTTCAAAACCTTCATTAGACAAAATGTGTTGTATTTTTGTTTACGGTTAGTAAGGGGAATGGTGGTGTTGGGATATTCATTTAGGAGTCACTGTCGCTGTCACAATCTGACCAGTTCTACACCGTCATTGCGTCATCAACACAACTCAGGAAACTTGAGGAGGCAGTTGTTTGTGCAGTATCAGACTGGTTTCGGTCATAAGAAAGATACCATAGGACAGATGCAATGTGGGCACAGCAGTCGACCACTCTGGCACCAACCTTACACTGACAATACCAGCCTGATATTGGGGTCAGTCCATTAGAATATTCAATCCAAAGATTGTACACCTTCGAAGCACTTGTCGTGAACGAATCTGAACTTTGATCAAGTCAGGTTTCTCCCTGCATAGCATAAGTTCATACTGACCATCTTCAGCTAAGTGCTCGTTGGTGTAGGATTTTGCCTGTTTCAGCTGATATACCCCCATGGTAAGATCTCTCAACTCTGGTTCTGATAACTTTGGGAAATCAGGCAAACTGGCCTCATCAAGCTTTACCCAAATAGACCGCTTCCTCGTTAACCCTTCTGCCTCAATAAGAGATTGACGTTTGTTAGGTGTTTTGGACAATGTCATCATTCTCTCGGCAATTACAATGTCATTGGGAGAATTCGAAGCAAGTGGAGGGCGAAAGGCATTGCAAATTGCACAAACAATTCGTACAAAATCTCCTACAACGTGAATTTGTGTGTTTGGCAGTACATGTCCCAACGTCTTCCACCGCTTAATCCGTCCATTGGCTGACTCAACAACCCACCTTACTTTTGTAACAAGACGGGATTCATTTGCTTCTTTGACGGTATGCTGCTTCTGACCCTTCGGTAGAAAAAATGGCATTTCTGTTTTGATACCAGAATCCCTCAAAAAATCTGTCACATCTCTAAAGCCTCTTGTCAACAACAAGGACATCATCATCTTGAAACCAATCATTGATGTTCTCAGTGTTAGTTTTGAGCATGTGCTTTGTGATATTGGCATAATTGTTTCGACCATCTGCTAAATACGGACCAAGAACAGACAAGATATAACCATCAGAAGCTACAAGACACATTGGCTTCAAGAGAGGACGTCCCTTGTGCGTTGAGAAAGAGCGACGTTGGAATGTGTAATTACTGGATTTTTCAACATAAATATAAGTGCCATCAGCAACAACCACAGCGACATCCTCACCTGAGGCAAACATTGTCTTTGCAAACATTGTAGTATGGTTTTGGATAACTTGTTCTCTTGTGATTTGATGCAGGCCAATGTGGGAAGGAACAAAGTGATTCAGTAATGCTTTTCGAGCAGAGTGTATACATTTTCCACACGTTCGCTTTGTCATATTGAACAAAGTAGCTAAAATTGCTAAGGACATGCCCGTTTTCAACTTTACAAGAAGAACAGCTAATGCAGTCCTTGCACTTCTATTTAGTGAAGAGTACAGAGATGTGTTAACTGACTGTAAAAGCTCGGAAAACTGATATTTATAAAGTCCTGTGAGTCGATAATAATCTTGATCAGTTAATCCATCAGGTGAATCAAAGTCCAAACAGCTTTTTCTAGAAGCCAGTGATCTCAGTGAAAGCAGGATTTCTGATATTTCAGATGAATCCAGTTCCGAGTCTTCACTGGTAGGAGTGAGTGACTGAAAAACATCGGAATGAATATCACCATCCACTATATGAGAAGCATAGCACCTAGATGTGTTTGGAATCAAGACATCTGTCTTAATGAAAATCTTAACTCTTATTTCCGTGCATGGTTTCACCATTTTACTTTTTTCATCTCTGGACTTTCCACAAACGAAACATCGCGATTCAGTAAACGTAGCTCATGAAATGTCAAGTTTGATTTTTTAGAGTCAGGTGTCTCATTCTGATGGTCTAAACCACTGTTAGAATGCTCTACTGGTTCATGGTATTTGTAGAATCTCCCTCTGCATTTCTTACATACAGGGTCACCTAAACATAAATCTTTATTGATGTTATCTTTCAAGAAAGACAGAACATCTGCCTGATTCAGACAATATATTCTGACTTTATAATCTGCTTTGCAGCAAGCACACTGCTTGTGTACTGGCATTTTACAAAAATAACAAAAAGTTAATAATAACTAAACAAAATACTATAATACTATTATATATATGTCACGCTTGTATGAATGCAATTGTATCTAACGGTTTAGTTATACACAAGATATGTGCCTAAGTCAATGCATGTACGAAATGCACAGAACAAAGTATACTTATATATCTGGATATACCATGTGTTACATACACTGCATTGTAGATTACTGAAGTTTGCTAGTGTTTGAAACAAGACCATTAACATCAGGGAGGTGTCATGATGTCATACTATTTAATGTTAAAGCTCTAGTGTCAAACCATCTTATGTTAAAGCTCAATAATACAACTAATGCACGGAAGAATTATTATACTGTGAAATTTATTTGAAATAATTTTTCATACAGTATAATTCAGTATTCATTTTCATTAACCGGAATAAGATAGTGACTGGTGCTCTTGCACTTTAAATCGTAACTAGTCCATTTAAATGGCATGCCCTGACAGTAACTTCTTCATTGCTCTAATTCATGCAAAAATATTTCAAATAAATACACTGCACGTGATAAACGTATTGTTTATAGATGCATTAAGACAAAAAACGGTGCTCAAGTGTGACTTAATTAGTAATTAGGGCACTTAATTACTTTTCAACAATGGCATATGTTTTAGTCATTTATTCTAATGAAGGTTTTGAAATATATCATCAAATGACATTTAAGAGAAAAAAATACTAAAAAAAATATTTTAGTTTGATAATTATTGCAATAATTATGAATTTGATCCCCCACTCATCCCCTATAACAACTGAACAGCCTTGAGCTGACCTTAGATTAATGTCATATCATTACCGCCTGACCTCAAGTTTTTAATAGACAAAAAATAAAAAGTATTCGTCATGGCCACCAGAAGGCCCAAACTGGCACTCCTCCTTTATATTTTATCATATTCAGAGCATATTTTTACTAACGTATCACTCTATACATATAGTGCAATAAGAAATTCTAACATTTTATACAGAATAGAGAATTATTTGAAATCTGCATGTTTTAAATAATTTATTTTATTCTGATAATTTTATAACATTTATATTCTATAATTTTCTTCTAATAAAATCATACCAAAACACTTTAATCTCAAATCATAACACTTTATTTTCTTACCATAACACTTTCTTCTAATCAAGATTTTTTATTGACGAAATTGTTAAGTATTTTGTTTATTGTATTTTTACTGCTGTGTAATTTTGTATCAGTTTTTTTTATTGGTCAATTTACAAGATGAAATGTGTCCTTTGTTTTCATTGGCTGAGGACTGCAGATATAACTCTTTTGTCCCGTGGATATTTCTTGATATTTCAATAATAAAACTGTTTTAAATATTTCTTCTCTCGGTGTTATCATTTATTAACACGTTCATTCAAAGGAGTCGTTTTCTAAGTTCTAAGTATTATTTTAAGGGTGTTTTTTTCCGAAACAAAACACTGGGAACTTATACATTTCAGACGTAACACGGCAACGGGAACTTGTACACTTCAGACATAACACAACACCGGCACATATACACTTCAGATATAACACAACACCGGCACATGTACACTTCAGATATAACACAACACCGGGCACATGTACACTTCAGACATAACACAACACCGGGCACATGTACACTTCAGACATAACACAACACCGGGCACATGTACACTTCAGACATAACACCACACCGGGCACATGTACACTTCAGACATAACACAACACCGGGCACATGTACACTTCAGACATAACACAACACCGGGCACATGTACACTTCAGACATAACACAACACCGGCACATGTACATTTCAGATATAACACAACACCAGGCACATGTACACTTCAGACATAAAAAACACCGGGCACATATACACTTCAGACATAACACAACACCGGCACATGTACACTTCAAACATAACACAACACCGGCACATGTACACTTCAGACATAACACAACACCGGCACATGTACACTTCAGACATAACAAAACACCGGGCACATATACACTTCAGACATAACACAACACCGGGCACATGTACACTTCAGACATAACACAACACCGGCACATATACACTTCAGACATAACACAATACCGGCACATATACACTTCAGACATAACACAACACCGGGCACATGTACACTTTAGACATAACACAACACCGGGCACATGTACACTTCAGACATAACAAAACACCGGGCACATGTACACTTCAGACATAACACAACACCGGGCACATGTACACTTCAGATATAACACAACACCGGCACATGTACAATTCAGACATAACATAACACCGGCAGAACAGATCGGGATAGACAGAATACACACCTACAGATCGGGATAAACAGAATACACACCTACAGGTCGGATTAGACAGAATGCACACCTTCAGATTGGTATAGACAAAATATACATCTACAGGTCGGGATAGACAGAATACACACCTACAGGTTGGTATAGACAGAATACACACCTACAGATCGGGATAGACATAATACACACCTACAGGTCGGGAT